GGATCTACCAGGTTCAGACTGGAGAATCCCAGTGTCCTCGGGCTGGCAGCAGGGAGCACAGCCTTCAACCTCTTCCAGCCCCTTCTCTTCCTTCCCCTCCTTCCCACTTCAAACACAGGCTGGGAGATTACATTTTGTGTCCAAAAGGCACATCTCAAATCACCTTATGGCACCCGTATTCTTTCATTGGCCCATAGTCTTCAACATTTTATAAGGTAAATATGACCTTTATTATCTTTACTGCTGTCATTTTTTTAATCATATCAAAGTTCCTATCATTTAATTTTTTTGTTCTGTTGCTTAAACCAGTGTTTCCCAATTAACAAACCAAAGCTCTCCTTGGGGGTAAAGTGGGAAACTATTGCAATTCACTGAAGCTGTTTGGTAATATTTTTATTGTCTGTGCCTCAGGCCTACCACAGAACAGTAGGAATTGCATAGCTGTATAGCACCTAGCGACTACTGACCTACTGCCTTGTGACCTTGCAGAGCATGTAAGATGCTCAATTCATTACAGACTTCGTAATCACACCTTAAACGTTCTCTGTAATCATTGTTTACCTTTCTGTAAATCATTTCAACTAAAGATGACCTTTCTCAGGCCAACTGTTCATTCTATTTAGTTAAAAACTGAGATACACAAAAAGAAAAGCCAATACAATATACGGTTTATTTAAAAAATAATTATAAAGCAAGCATCCAGGTCCCTAAATAGAATACTCTCCCAACCCAGAAGCCCCTCATGCACACCTCTCTGACTACCTCCCTCTGGTCTGTATTTGTGGTAATCATTCCCTTGCTTTTCCTCATAGTTTTATTACTTATGTATGCATCCTAAACATCAGCTAAATTTTGCCAGTTTTTGAACTTTACATAGAAGGAACATACTGTATCTATCTTTGGTTGGCTTCTTCTTTTACCCCATATTGTGACTTAGCATATAATTGTGAATGGTGAGTTTGTTCCTTTTCATTGATGTATCATATTTCAAGGGATAATTATATTAAAATTTTATCTATTGGATTGATGTAGGTTTGAGTCATGTTACTTTTAGATGTTACAAATATACACATATGCAAGAAATTCTTTAGAATGAGTTATAAATATTCCATTCAGTTTTACTAGATAATGCCGCTGGATGTTTCCCAAAGTGATCGGTTTTAGATAACAGCAGTATATGATTCTCCTTGCTTCATCTCTGTTAAAACTTGTTACTGTCAGACTCTTAAGAATAATTCTTTGATCTGGTGGGTGTCTTTAACAGTATTGCCTTGTGATTTTCATTTTCCTTTCAGTGGTTACTAATGAGGATGTTGGTATTTCCATACATTGGTCATTTGCAATTTCTCTTTGGTGTTGTGCTACTTAGGCCTTTTCTACCTTTTTGAAATTAGGCTTTTTATTTCTCACTGGTTTGTTTTTAATATATTGTAGGTACTAATTCTTTGTTATATATTTTGCAAACTTCTCCCACACTGTGATTTGTCTTTTCCACATACTTTATGGTGTTTTGATAAATATCATTAATTTTTAGGTAGTTGAAATTTATCAATCTTTTATGGTTAAAAATATTTTTTTTGATCCCCAAAGTCATAAAAAATATTTTCTCATCTAGGTCCATATAACTTACCTAAAATCCGTGGAGCCAGAAGTATTTAGACTACAGTTTTCTTAGATATTGGAATGGTACTGTGGAACATATTCCATACACTGTATAACACTCTCAACACAAATTGGAACTGTACTCATACTCAAATACATTTCTACAGCAAAACATGCACACTTGCCTAACTGGTACATACATAACAACTATATAGAGCCTCATATCACTTTAAGGCATATTTTTCACCAAGAGTTTGGTGTTTCAGAGTTTGCCATTTTTGTATTTAGTACAAGTTATGGTAGCCGTATGCAGCAACAGTGGAACTGTCCAAAGGTTGGAGGAACCTACTGGTGGAGTGAGGTACCTGGAACTTGTCTGTACAAGATTCTTTACTACTGATTCTAGTTGTTTTTTTTATTGACATAGGGTCTTGATTTGTAGTTCAGGCTGGCCTTCAATTATATAGCCCATTTGGCCTTGAATTTGCAGTGACCCTCTTGCCTGGCTTACCCTCCTGAATGCTGGGGTTACAGGCGTCCTCCACCACACGGCCCTGATTCAAATTATTTAATAGTTTAGAACTATTATTCATATTCTGTACTGAGTCAGTTATTTTTCTTGGAATTAGTACATTTATCTAAATTTCATGTGTATTGAATTGCTTATAAGATCCTCTAGCCTTCATGTCTATAAATCTATATTTACTGATATGTTCTTAAGATCTCTCCTTTATTGCTCAAACTATCAGACATTTGTTAACCAAAATGTTTTTCTAAGAAATTCACTTTCTTAAAAATCTCTTAAATGCAGTGGTGTGCCAGTGAATTGATAACAAACATAAAACAAAAGCCTGGCTTGTTTTTTTCTGTAGTATGAATGTTGCCATCATGGTAATTTCAAGCTACTAATCAGATGTTACTGATTACAGAGGTGGAAAGAGGTGGCACAGTTGGCTCTCCCCAGCTGGTACCAAATTGGCTCTGTGCACCACTACTTTTCCCATTCCATTAACTTCTGCTCTTCATGTTATTTCTGTGCTTCTGCTTTGTCATTTTGCTGTTCTTTTCCTAACTTCTTAAAGACGACTGTTTAGCTCAAGACATTTCAGGCTCTTTTCTAATATATTTACTTATGGTGGTAAATGTCTAAGTATTGCATTAGCTTCATTCCACAGGTGTTGCTATTTTATTTAATTGTTCAGTTCAAAATATTTTCTCGTTAACACGAGCTTTTTGTCAATGACTTACATGGACTTGTTTTTATAGTTTATCGACTTCTACCACAACTGCATTGTGGTAAAAATATATAGTGGGCCCTTGACTTATGAACTTCATCAGTTCCCAAAGGCTGGTTGTAACTCAAATTGGTTGTAAGTCAATACAGCTGGGATCTAGATATTTACCTGGGTACATGCTACAGATAATAAGAGGTAGATAAATCTTCCATTAACCTGATTAACCCAAGTTGTTCGCATATAAGACAAGTCATAACTTGAGGGTCCACTGTATGTGCTTAATGATTTCAATCTTCAAAGTCTGTTGATTGCTGCCTTATAGCTAAGTACATGGTCAATTTGGCAATGTGACATTAAAGGATTACATGGTGACATGCTTTAAACAATGTATACAGTGGACACTTAACTTACGAACTCAATTCATTCACAAGAGCTGGTTGTAACTCAAGTTGGTCAACTGAAGGCTCAGGCTCCTCTACCCAGCCTTCAAAGTCTCTCTCCTGTATAATTTTAGGTCACATTTCTTCCACACAGATTCAGTGTCCTTAAGAGACACTGGCCCAGAATTTCTCAATTAACCCCATACCGGAAAGGATGTTGTAATGTTCCTTCCAAAACTCTTTAAGGGTTAAATCTGTACCTGAAACCATCTGGCAAGGCTCATAACTCAAGTCTTTGTAAGCTAAAACTAAAATTCCAGTCAGAACCCAAGTTGTTCATGTCAGGCCGGTTGTAACTTCAGGGTCCACTGTATTCTGATTCTGATTTTGTTTTTCTCAATATCCTCAATATATCAACTTTGTAAATCATGTCACTTAAGTTTTCTATATCCTTGATTTTTCTCTTGCTGAGAAAGACCCATTAAAATTACCCCATATGACCATGTATTTTTTTCTCTTAATTCTGTCAACTTTCTGTTTCACATACAATCATGCATCACTTTCTTGCTCAGCCATGGGGATACATTCTGAGAAATGTTTCATTAGGTGACTTCATCATTGTGAGAACTTTCTCCATCATAGGGAATACATAACACCAACAAGGCAATGTGGAACCACAGTTGTATATGCAGTCACTGATGAAAACATGGTTAAGTGGCACATGATTTTATACCTATACATTTTAAACTTAAAATATACTGTTTTTCAATTCAGAAGTCATCTAAAATTTTTTCATCCCTTTTATATTCCATCAGTTATACTTAAATGATATTTACCTTTACATAAACTGACCTTGATAAACATAGTGCAATTAAATGCTGGCTCTGGTAAAGCTAGAGCCATCCACCATCAGAGTCCATTAAACGTTGGGAACTACAGCCCATACTGTAGAAAATGTTTGGTGGTGCTGAGCTTCACACCACCACCGCAAAAACCTGCCCAAGTTGAATATATAGGATCAAACACCAGCACTGAGGGCAGAGCTGTAAACTGCGCCTGAGTTATGTTAGCAAAGAGAACTTCAACAAGACCAGCTGGTGGAGCAGATGGAACCTCTTAAGACTGACCTTTACCCAAAACATGCTTCTTAAGGATCCTGCTGAGATATAAACTCATATATTAAAAGCAACATCCTCGAAATATTTGAAGCAGCCTTGACGCTCATCAACGGACACATGAATAAAGAAAATGTGGTATATATTCATGATGAAACTTTACTTAGCCATAAAGGTTGAATTCGAGTCATGGATGGACCTTGAGACCATCACGTTAAGTGAAGTGAGACACCAATACTGCATGGTTTCTCTCATATGAGAAACCCAATTATAAATAAACAGTAAAAGAAAGGCAGACTTCTATGGGAAGATGGCGAAAGGTATCGAAAACGATTAAGATATTAACATATATGTACTAATCCTCCGGGACGAACGTATATTTCATGTACTGCAAACATATACAGTACCAATAAAAAATATGAAGTAGCTGTTTTCTTGCCATAAAATACCCTAACGTCCGGGGAGAGAAAGCGCCATCTTGAGACTAAAGCATTGCAAATATTTATTTTTTTCCCGCTGCCCTAACTTCCTCGTTCTCAATTTGTCACTTTCTAGCCCATATCCGGGCCATCACCATGTCCCGGGCCTTTTTCTGGGGCTGAGTCCTCCTTGCGTCCCCAGGGCTCTACAACCCTCAGCCGGCTCTCCTTCCCTCCACCGTCATTCCGCACCGCTCAAGCTTTAAGCATGGCATTTGTTGTTTTGTTTTTTGAGACAGGGTCTCATTACGTAGTTCGGGATGGCCCTGAACTCACTATGTAGGCAGGTATCCAACTCCTGGTAAACCTCTTGCCTGCCTCTCCAGTGCTGGGATTACAGACGTGTGACACCACGCCCGGCTCGCGCACTCAGCCTTTCTGAAAGGACATGGCCCGCCACAATCACGAAGTAATGCTCAGAGAGGGATCCAGAAGCCAACAAGCCCGAGACCACTGAGAGCCAGAACTCCCACCAGCTCGCCACCCGAGACAGACCGGAAATCATCCGACAGGTACTAAGCTGGGGCGGAAGTCCCGCCTCCTCCGCACAGTCCACGGTAACGCGGAGGGGTCAATCCAGGGGCTCCCGGCCGTTTCTCCGAGTGAATATCCTAGTGTGGCCGGTGACCCCAGCCCGGGAGGAGACTTGCCACGCCAGGACCCAGCCCCACGCCCTCTCCCGCGACTTTGTGGGCCGCAGGACCCCCGGGAAGCCGCGAGGGGCTCGCAGGTCGGCGCGCGTGGGGCTAGTCGGGAAGGAGCAGGCCGAGGAACGCGGAGGCTGCGCTGGCTTTGGGAGCTGAAGCACCTCTCTCAGAGGCGCACCCCAAGCATGCCTTAAGAAAAGGAGGGGATAACAGCCCCTCTCCTTGCCTTTTGCTCTCTTGGCAGGGTCATGTTTAGGTCAGATTCTCTTTGTCCCACAGCTGGCTCCCAGCAGGAATGGCAGCCCCCACCATGAAGGAGAGGCAGGTCTGCTGGGGAGCCCGCGACGACTACTGGCAGTGCTTGGACGAGAACGCCGGGGACTCATCCCGCTGCCAGCAGCTGAGGAGGTCCTTCGAGTCCAGCTGTCCTCAGCAGTGGGTAAGTCACGTCAGGCCGGCCTGGTGTGCGGCTCTTCACGGGGAAAGTGCTTCGCGTTCGCCTTTATCCCAGGTTGGGGGACAAGGTCATCGAAGAGGTCAGGGAACCGAGAGGCCACCTATGGGGAGGAGCAACATGTGGAGACTGAAATCCTGCAGTTATGACCACAGCATTGTTGGGGAAAATAACAGTGATCTACAACATTTTTGGGCACTTCAACAAAGAAGAGAGAGTGCAATATAATGTTCCAGTTGACTTCTGCAGCCTGTGGCAGCGATAGCACCTTTCCAAGCCACAGCTGTTGTGTTCTGTGAACTCTTTTTTCTTAGAGGTCCGCGACTTAGTTCACTTAGTTCGTCACCGTGGCCCCTTCTGTATCAGTAATTTGCTCTTGTTGGCCTGTGCTCTCCATTGTTATCTAGCTGAAGACTTGCCTCCTCTTTTTCTTTATTTTTTCACTAAGTTGTTCAGGCTGCGCTCAGATTTGCAATCTTCCTGCTTCAGCCTTCCAAGTTGGAGCAGTGTTTTGACCACCTCAGAGCAAAGCAGAGCTGTGTATAAATAGGTCCTTACCAGCTCTGGACTGAGAAGTGGGCCCAGGATTTTGTTGGACAAAGTTAAAGATCAAATGTCATGTTCAAAAACCGTAATTCAGATTCTGCACCTGTGCTGGGGGTCAAGCCTGCCTCTCTGTGAAGGTGCCCTAGAGCCCCTAGGCAAGAGGATCCTACTGATGAACTTCAAAGAGCAAACTTCTGACCTACTGTTAGAGAATAGGGTTTCTCATTGAGTAAGAAAGCTGTAACCACTCCACGAAGGAGTCCATTGGGACTTGTGATCGCTGTCCTTGGAGAAACATTGACTTTCCATCTGCTTTTTTGGTGTGTTATCTACCTGGATGCAGGGCAGGGCAGATTTCCACATCCTCAGCCCGTGCTCACTTTTACCTACAAGCCCCACTAGGATATTAAACTCCTAAGAAAGGCTTTTAACAAAACAACTACTGTTTTCTACTCCACTAATGCAAATGTGTGTTTTGCCTTTGCCTGGAACGCAGAGCAGGTCACATACAGATGCTGCAGTACTTTCATGGCTGGCATGTGTGCATTTTCTACTTTTAGGATTTTACCATACATATCATTAGGTTAGTTTAAGATTCTTTAAATTCCTTATGGAATGAGAAGATATGAATAAAATCAAGTCTTTCAAATACCGAAATTGCTGGCATGGTGGCACATGACTGTAATCCTAGCACTCGGGACGCTGAGGCAGGAGGATCACCGTGAGTTTGAGGCCAGCTGGGCTAGTGAGTTCAAGTCCAGTCTGAACTACATAGAGAGACTCTGCGTCAACCCCCACCCCCAAACAACTTGGTGTTTTACCATCAATTTACCTACTGATATAATAATGGTTCATAGTTTTTAAGCATGTACCTGTCTCATTAAATGTGTTTCTGGATAAGACATACATAAAAAATGGGATGGCAGATAAATTACAAGGTGTATTAAACTTATCTTAATCTGAAGACTGGGCCATCCATGTAAGAGCTCAGTGGACTCAGCTTACTGGCAGGCTCTGAATTGCACAAATGAATTGCACACAGATTCATTTCCTGAGAAGGTTCCTGGGCCAAATAATCAAGAGGATGTCACTCAGAAAGGGCCAAGACTTACAAGGCTACAGGCTTCTCAGAGGGCCATTCACCAGGTCCCTGACGCAAAACAGTTCCAGAATATAAATCATTTTTATATTTCTATACAATTTGTATTGAATAGTTACATTTAAATCTGTGCTTTTGCTCATGTAAGTTCCAAAACATGCCCTGATGTCAAGCTTTTTTCTCAACAGATAAAATATTTTGATAAAAGAAGAGACTACTTAAAATTCAAGGAAAAATTTGAAGCAGGACAAGTCCAGCCTTCAGAGTCAACTGCAAATTCCTAGGCTGTTCTTGAACTTTTCACAAAGGCTGAAATTCTCTGTGGACATTCAAAATGTTCCGTTAGTTCTGGGACAGTATTTGAATCACGATGCACACTGATACTTTGTTCCCTGTGTACAACAGTTAATAAATAAAATGACCAAGTAACAGAAGATCCCATCATTCAAACTATGACGAAACAAAAAATGGTATTAAGTATGTTCAGTTTTAATAAGAAATCTGTTTTAAGAAAAAAATTAAAATCCTATTATAAAAACATGGGTTTTTGGCAGTAGAAGCTGAGTCATAGGCAAATATTATTTACAGTACATGTATTATAGACAAAAACTGAAATAAGTTGTAATGTGTTCCAGGAGTAACATTTTAACACAATCTACAAAATGAGGTTGGAAGAAAGTTGAAATATTCAGGTAAAATAATAGAAAACTATTAAAGACCCATATACTGAAGAGTAAGAAAATGACTGGATTCCAACTAGTACACTAATGCAAAAAAGAAATAAGCATATAGATTGGGAAGGAAGAAATAAAACTAGCACTATTCACAAATGCTAAGTTATGATTAACTTTAAGAAAACTCTCAAGAATGGACTAATATATGCAAATCACATATTTCGTCAAGAACTTGTATCCAGAATAAAAAATTTAAAACTTTTTTTTCACAGTACGGGAGATTGAACCTGAGGCTTTCATACTGAACTATATATCCCCAGCCCTTTATTTAGTTTTTATTTTGATACAAGATCTCACTAAGTCACTTAAATTTCCCAGGCTGGGCTCAAATTTGCATTCCTCCTGCCTCAACCTCTCAGTGTTGGGATTACAGATGTGCACCATCATTCCCAGCTCCTACAAGTCTTAACAAAAAATAACCCTATTTAAAAAGTGAGCATATTATACAAATAGGTATTTGCCAAAAGAAGATATACAATAGACAAAGATATGTAAAGATCCTCTATTACTAAATATATGATGGAAATACAACTATATATGTATATCATTACACATTGGAATGGCTTCAGTTAAAAAGCTGACACCAAGTCCTGACAAGGATACACAGCAACAATCATTCTTACTGTGCTAGGAATACAAACTAGAAAAGCCCCTAGGAGAACAGTGTACCAAGCTAAACATATGGTGACTTATGACCCAGCAGTCACACTTCTAGGTATTTCACCAAATGAACTGAAAACTACATCTGTACATGAATGTTTATCTGAACCAGCTTTATGCATAATCACCCAAAACTAGAAACCACCCAGACACCCAAAACAGAGAAATGACTAGGCAAACTGATGGATCTGTATGATGGAATAAAGTAGGAATGAACTTCAGATTCATGCAGTGTAACAGATGAACTGTGAATGTATTTTGCTGTGTGAAACCCAGACCCCAAAGGCTACATAAATACTTCAGTGGATATGACTTGAAAAAGTAGAACTATAGGATAGAAAAAGATCATTGTTTGACAGTGACTGGAAGATGGGGAGAGGGCCAACTATGAAGGAGTGACAAATGAATTTTTAGGGTGATGAAATTGTTCTTTATGACACTGGTGGTGGATGCCTAAGTATGCATTTGATAAAACCCACATATTGTACTATAAAGAGTGACTTTGCCCATTAAAATAAAATCTGCCAGGGTGGTGGGGGAATTCTGGTAGAGTACAGATTGTGAAGAATATGTCTACTCATATTGTAAGTATGTGACATAACCTCACTGAAAGTGTGGGCAAAAGGACTGACCTAAATAACTGAAGTGTTTTGACTGCATTCTGTATGGTTTAAGGCAAAAGGAATTAAACGCAAGGTGCTAAATTTCACAAGCTTAGCAGTTCTGAAGCTGTATGGGTAATAGAGTACAGCATGTGAGTAATAAGCAGTGAGAGCTAGGTTTTATGTCAGAGTAAGCAGTTAAAATAAGTGAAAGAACATTTGAATGCCAGTCCCGGTATCACTGTCTGGTATCAGTAAGAATTCACATCACATTCACTCATCTCCACACTGGTAATGCAGAATCATCTATGGATAGGGGTGCAGTCACAGGGTGGCAAGTTCCTCATGTTGGGGAGGTGCCCATAACCACCATTCAGGAAGGGGCAGCAGGCACATCTAGCTCCGAATTATTTACACTTTTGTGGTGGTACTAGGGGTTGAACCTATGATTCTTTGCACTGAATTTTATCCCCAGCCCTTGTTTCAATTTTGAGACCCAGTCTTACTAAGTTGCTGAGGCTGGGGTCAAAATTGTGATCTCCTTGGCTCAGCCTCCCAGCTGAGATCTTGGTTTTGAACACTATACTCCAATAGATGAGGCCAAAGCTCCTTGGAGAAATGTCTGATGCTAGCCTAAGGTAGGAAGAATAAAAAAGAACCTGTGGTACCATGTGCCAAAAAGTAAGGAAATGCTATTTAAAAAATGGCATATATCATAATGACACAGTGCCAACTATCCACACTGATTAAAAAGATGACTGAACAAGGAAAAAGTATAGAGGAATTCCAAGAAATAAATGTAAAAGAAATGAAACACAGAATATCACTATTAGAACAAACACCACAGTCAAAAGTGCTATAGGCAGAATCCCCTGATGAATGTTAGCATCAATGGACAAAATATAAGACTATGTTTGCACAGCTTCAAGTATCCCTCCGAAATATTCACTAGTTACTGGGATGGTCTTGGCAAGTGTCCCTGAACTCTTTGATACCCTTCTCTCCAAGAGGGAGCTTAATTTCCTACCACAGAGCGTAGGAGTGACTCACTTTTAACAGACAGTGTATATAGGCATTGTGGCAAATGTTGACTTCACCAAATGATGGAGATGGTGAGCCTGCTAAGGCCGTGTACCCCCAACATGATGTGAGAAGGCCCTTTACTATCATTCTTCCTTATAACCTATAATCTCTGAGAACACGGCAATTACAAAACAGTTGGCCAGTCGTCTTCAGAAGTATTCAGGTCATGAAAGTCAAGGAAAGACTGAGGCTCTGTCAGACATCAGAGGAGGCTCGGGGACACAGTGACTACCAGTGTGGTGTCTAATCTTGAGTTGGCTCCTGGAACAGAAAAGAGGACATTAGTGGAAAAATGGGAAATAGGAACAAAGTCTGCAGTTTGGTTATGTGCACCATTATCAGAATTTCCTAATTTTGACAACTGTACCATGGCTGTGTAAGGTAACATTGGAGGCATCCTGTCAAAGTAAGTGTATGGAAGTTTTGTGTCCAATTTTTGAATATCTCTGCAAAACAAATTATTTCAAAATAAATATTCAGAAGAACAAAATAAACACATAAGTAATGGACTCTGAAATTTAAATATTATTAAAAGGCACCCTGACATAATTGAAGTTCATTGCTGGATGGTGATAAATGGTTACCATTAAAAACAATCACAAGAAGAGAAAGAGTAAATCAACACTGGTGCGTTTCATTATCAGTTTCAATAATGATATATAGGAATAGTCAGCTCCTTTGGGTTCAGGGTTATAGTTATCAGAAGAGATTATTTCTAACCATTATCTGATCTCTTTGAGCAAAGGTAAATGTAAGAAATTTCATATTAATATGAATGATGATGGCCTAGTTTGGCTTTAAAAATAAAGCCTAGGAGCTGAACTTGAGCTTTGCAGGGAAGTTGGCGGGACATCTTGCCGAGCTGTTTCCCAAGAGTGCACAGCAGAAAGAGGGCTGCTCTCCACTCAGCACCCCACCCCTGCTTCCTTAAGGCTGAAGGGTGCCGGGGCTCAGAGCAAAGGTGCTGCCTTACTCTCAGCACAGTCCATATTCTTGGTGATACCAGTCTTTCTGGGAAGGAAAGTACAAATTAAAGCACACTGTTTTACCTCAAAAGTTGCTTAAAATATTTTATTACAGAAGCAATACAATTTAGCCATAAGTGTTTATTACAACATAGTGATCTTTTTAAGGCACATGAGAGAGTTTTGGCTTTTTAATGCAAAAAACAATACAAATCATCCCAGTAAATTTCAGAATCCATTTCATTAGTCCAGAGTTGTAAAAAATGGTCTCGGTAGCACCACAACTCATCTCAGGTAAGGCACAGGCTTCAGGATGGGTCTGCGCGCCTGAGCAGCTGCTGCCTAGTGTACTCCCAGATGAGCAGGGCTCCGCTCACATGCACATTCAGCGAGCGGATGACGCCCTGCTGTGGGATCTCCACGCACACATCCAAATGCTGTATCAGGTTTGCCGGGATTCCTTCACGTTCATTGCTGAGGAAGAAAGACGAGGAGGCAGACATTAGTTTTCCTGTAATAAATTTGTTCTTAGATTACTAAAAGAGATTAACCAATGTAGTAAGTATGGTTCCAGGAAATAAGTAAGTGTGTAACAGAGACTTAAGAGTCAGTTCTGTGTTCACCTGATCCACCCCAGATAGGTGAAATCAAAGGAAAACTGGGGAGAGAGGTTTCCACAAATGTAAGCTGAAAGAAAAGTGTGAGTATGATGTCGGGGGTCTGGGTAAATCATAAAATAGCTAACATTTTCTAGGTGGGGCTCAGAGGACAGAATGTGGGCCGGGAGCTCTTCTCACCCCAGCAGGAGGAGCGACTTCTCAGGAAAGCAGTACTGGGCCAGGTCGGAGCTTCTGGCCGTCTGCTCCACCCCAATGATGGTGTAACCTTCTGTTTTCTTCAGCTGCAGGTAATCAATTAGCTGAGCTGGTTTCACCTTAATATTAGTTTACAAAGAGCAGACTATTAAATCATTCAGTTGTAGCCCTGCTTGGAGTAAAATGTGAGTTAGCAAAAAACATTTATTAAACTAAACTTGTTAAAAAATGCTTTATAAAAAGGGAAACAAGATAATCATATTCTATCAAAAAGAATTCCTCAGCTTCATGTACTTGTACAATTATCCCTAAATCAATAGTGAGCTGTAAAAGGACACATTTTATTAAAAGACTACTTTATGATTGATATTTCTGTAAATAAAAAGAACAAACAAGGCTGAATTTTAGTTTTAAGTATTACTTTTAAACGATTATAGGCTGAACTTTTATAAATTACTGCAGAAGGCCTAATATATGAAGGCCTAAAACAAATAAAGGCTTTAATAATAAATTACTTTCCACCCACTTCCACCAGAGGAAGCCACTGTTCTGCAGAGACGCTGAGGTGCTGAAACTGCTTGTCACCGACACACTGCAGACTGCCCAGGACCAGCGCCGCGGCCCCAAAGACCTCGCAGGTCCGGCACAGACCTGCACAGAGAAGCTAAACTTACCAGGACTGTCCCCCTGTGGTCTCACCAAGTCCCACACATCCCTCGGAAGCTCTCAGGGAGGACTAAATGGGGAAGATGGCCAGAAAAGGGCAGTGGACCAATGGGAAATACCAAGCATCACCAGGCTGCAAGCTCCCTGGAAAACTGCGATTTTACCTCCTAAATTGGTTGGCTTATTGATGAGTGAGGCCACCACAATCAGTCTGCTAACTGACTTTCCGAGTCTGGCGGCGCGATCCTGAAACTCGAGCCCCAGGTCTGCATCGAGACCCTCTTGTCTCCAAGGGATGATCTTTTTCTGGACGTCAGCCCACTCTGATTGGCTGGCTGCTTCACTCATGTTAGAACCTTGGGAAGGAAAAAGAAAATAATCCCACATGTAAACAATATCAGAGCCATCTCTCTCCATATATTGATTTATACCTTTGTATGAGTTTCAAATAAATTTATTTAATTACACATTAACTAGATTCAAACACAACCACCATTTTTTTTTTTTCAGTACGGGAGATCGAACTCGGGACCTTGCACTTGCGAGGCAGGCGGCAGGACCACTGAGCTAAATCCCCAGCCCACAACCACCATTTTCAATAGTAATTTTTTGTTTTCAAATTCAGTACTAACCAATATATGATGAGATTTCAAAAAAAACAGAAGATGCACATTTTTTCATGTTTTAGCATATCCAAAATTGGGAGGCAACTTAGAACCAAGGGTATCAGTTTGTTAACATTTTTTCCTTGGAGGTAAATAAAGTAATGGTGTATCTTACAAACAACAGTATTATCAGATTAGAATTTTTAGGGAAATATATCACTTAAAACAATATACGGGAAGTCTTTATCTTAAGTTATTTTACTAGCACTTGGGGTAACTTTTCTAAAATGGAGGATGTTCTTTCTGTAAAGGAGTATCTCCTGAATAGACGCATGAGCGCACAGCCCGTCTTAAGCCATCTATCTGCAAGGCCTGGTCTCTGAGATGCAGGACTGAGACTCTACTTCCAGGTCCTCCAGAAGGTCCAGGGTCCTCCCAACTCTGTTCCACTCCAACCTATCAAGGAGTCATCAGGGATCCCTGTTAGCAGGACACAGGACACAAAGGTAACTACAAGGGCCTGATAGTGAGGGTGTGTCACAAAGAAAGGAATGACAAATGTCTATGGGAGGGAGGAGCAAAGATATGACCCACAAGGCCTGAGGGAGGGAGGTCGGATTCTCAAAGGGGACAGCAGACACAGCATGTGCTCAAGCATGGGGTGGGAGAAAAATGACTTGGGCAGCAGCAAGTCTCGGGAGTAGCTCTCAGCCTGTGATGAAGAGACCAGACAGCCTGGATCACATCAGAGGGCTCTGCACAGAGTGATATAGGATCTACTCTACAGAGAGGAGCCATAGAGCCTTCCGAGAAGTGGAATGACAGTACTGATGCTGTTTTAGAGAAAGCCCTCTTTGCCCCAATGCAGAGGATACACCGGCTTCTGAACTCATCCAGGTAAAGACAATGGCAGTCTGAACTACGTCTGGGCAACCAAGGCAGACAGTGGGAGGAGAAGCTGGATCACCAAGACTGCGTACGTATGCATATGTCAGACAGGAAACAGAAAAAGAATGACCACTGTGATGACAGGTGATACCATCAACAAAGGAGCCAGAGGAGCAGATCTGGACAGAGACCTACATCCAGTTTGGCTGTGTTAAGTGTAAAGGGCTTATGCAACATCCAGCTGCAGAAGCCCAGCTGGCGTAGGCAAGAGGCTGACGTGAGAGAAGGGTTTGGAAGCGTACCACAGTTACATGGGTGGGGTCCAAGCAGGGAAATGGGTGAAAGTGTGCTTAGGAGAGCTGTGGAAGGGTAGGCAGTGGCACTGGTTGACAGCATTCTGGGGAACCTGTGTGTAAGCCTCAGCATGGAAACTCCCTATAGTCCACTTCTCTCTACCAAAACCACTGCAACAAAATGAAGACCTGGTCGGTCTGTTCACCAGCAGATAACCCCTGCTTCCCCTCCCCTGCTTTGTGGGGGACTCAACACTGTCTACGTCTGTGTCTGTCATCCCTCTTCCCTCTCCTCGGTCTCTACCTGGCCACCCTGAGCCTCCTGTCACTGTCTTGTGCCCGGGGAAAGTTCCTCTGCAGATTTTGCCTGCTTTGCTCTCAATTCATCAAGGTCTTTGCTTGACATTGGCTCCTAACAAAGGTCCTTCTGCTCTCCTTACCCTGCTTTATTATGTTTCATAGCACTTTTACTGGTTGACATTGCATTATGTTTCTTTATGGCTGCCACTTCTGTGAGAACAAAGGGGTGAGGGGTGGGGACTTGGTCTCATGTCCAACCACAAAGGAGGTAACCAACCAATCTTTGTTGGATCAGTAAATTCAAGGTACTGTCTCAGTGTGCATTAGTGAACCATTTAGAGTGCTGGATTAAACTGTACATTTCCAGAATTCTCCCTCAGAGATACTAAATTAAAACTGAGGGGTGTGTGTACGTGTGCTTGTGTGAAATCTGCATTTTTAACAAGTTTTCCAAGTGATCCCTACAAATATCAGAAATTTTGAGCCCATCAATGTGAGGGACAAGTGGGAGAACTCAGGGGAATGAGAAGAGCCTGAGTCAGGAGGAAGAGCAGGGAGAAGGAACAGCACCCACATGGAGTCTGACAAGGAGCCCAGAAGGGCACTGCTGAGCTTCTGAATGGTGATCATGGATTAGGAGAGCTGGAGGAAGACAGAGGTGAGGGGGAACTGATAGGAATGGAGGCTGCAACCACCCGGCCACCAGGAAGGTTAGCTGGACCTTGAAAATGGGGCAAGCACCTGGGACTGGGTCTTTCGAGCAACTTGCTGTGAAGGGAAGAGTTGGAGGGAGCAACGGGGACAAAGTGGCTAGTGGAGAACACCTAGGGAAGGACTCAGATCCTTCATTTGTAACGGAGGACAACACAACAGGGCTGGAGGAGCAGATGGAGAAATGACAACCAAACAGACCCAGAAAGAGCTCTGCCCATTCCTGAAAGGGTTGGCAAAAGAGATTTCAGAGTTCAACCCTTTCAAAAATTTGTATTTTTACAGAAAGTATACAGAAAAGCAAATAATATTAACAATACTATGCAAAAGAAAAAGAAATGATTAGTTTGTATAAAGAGATCAAACTGTCTAGCTTTTCATAGCAAAGCTAACTTTCAACTTAAAGTTGTGGTCAAAGCTGTATCACACTTTTATGGTCAGTTTTCTAAGTGGTGAGTCGCACAGAGCCCAGGTAGTGAAAAAGTGACATTACCGACTACTTGTTCTAAGTCACGTTCTATCTACCTGTTTCTAGTTCTGAAATCAGTAAGCATCTTGTCACCAAATTGACAAGAGAGAAAATAAAGTGAAGCTCCTCTTTACCTATGTCCTGCTGAGACCAGTCCCCTGGACTGAGCTCACTAAGTGGAGTCCGAGAGAAGTACCACTGGGATCCTGTGTTGGAAGGGATGTCTGCGAAGTTGGCAAATTTACCAACAGCGATCCACTCCTCTTCAATGACACCTGAAAGCCGTGGAAGGATGTAAAATATGGTCTGAAAAGAGAATTGTAAAATTTGTATTTTTTTCCTTGAGGGGAAAAAAGAAGTATATGGCATGTTAATTATGCAATTTATTACTATTAATATATTGTCCCAAATCATTCTATCTGATCAAATTACACACTCTCACCTATGTCTTGTGGCAGTTATATATAAATGCTTCTTATCTTCTCTAAGAAGTTAGGAGATTCAATTAGGGAATCCCTGCAAACAGGCAGATCTACTCTGGTACTTTACATAATAAACAAACCGCAGTGGTTTTAATAAAAACAAAAAGTGTTTTGGAATCAGTCATTACCAGTAAGGAACAACATTTGGAGAAAGGCATTTACTGATAACCAGATTCCTCCATAAGTGAAAAAAGTTCAAGCTCTCTGATGCGACATCTTTTACTCTCACTGCCATTAGATACATGTAGGGTCTGGATTCTGGCTGGACTATGTAATTTACTGTATGGCACAGGCAAGCCATGTAGTCTTTCAAGGCTTCAAGACCCTCATTTGTGCGGGAGGAGAATATCAGATTAAAATAGCACGTGACAGTGCTCCATGAATGGTGGCACAGGTGACACACCGTAAGTGGGCATTACCTTTGCAACCCTCCTCTTCTGTCCTTACCTGCTACAGAGTCGAGAACCAGAGGATGATCAGCCAGAAGGTGCAAAAGAGGCAGAAGCCCAAGCAAAGGGGAATTTAAGAATGAAATGATAAATTCACAATATGTCTTTATGAAAGTTTTAGAATAATGTGGTTTCTTCTGGACTAGCCATTGCTTGTGCAAATTTAAACAGGCATAATGTCCACAATTAAATGCTTATCACATGGGTCCTCAGTATAGCTCCAGACATTAAGTTCTTGGGAACCATTAAGTCCCATTCATTACTTGACCTATACAGTTCTGACTTGTATCATTAACAGAGATGAAAATATGTAGAAGACACAGGAGGAAGCAGGGGTGAGGTAAAGAGGGAGGCCAAGAACTGACTGCTGCTGGGGAATGGCAAGAGAGGGGCTGATGACCACTAGAGATTTCCTGGAGGGTCTCACAGGAAAGGTGCACAGACAGCACTCTGGGGGCTGAGGCCCTCAGAGCAGAGCATATTAGAACATGTGAAGAATACTCATTTTTTTATTCTAATAAAAATCATATTGGCAATGAAGCAGCAAATACACATTAGTATTCTATGATGTATATCTCATTTTATATATAAATATTTTTTTAATGGCCAGCTTATTAAAAAACACTATGCACAGTAGCCAAAGCTACAAATCTTTAGAGAAAACAGTCCTAGGTCAAATGATTTAAATTCAAAGGTAGCACATTATTAAGAGTTGAGAAAGGAAAAAAGTTTGGTTTATGGAAATTTTAGTATTTACATATTAAGTTAATTCATATTAACTATAATAAATGTGTTTATGGTTTTTCAGTTATAATCCATGAGTGGTGTATCATTTGCTGTACAACTTTTATTACCCAGAACCTAAAAATGCCATTAACAGAAGAGTAGATTTTTTGATCCTTCATTAACAGTGGGCTTCAGTACAGTAAAAGCTCACCTGCACAAATGTTCTCCCTCATCTCCTTTTAGAAATCTGTTTTGATTTCTGTTTAGTTAAATATTCCCTTCCAGGGTTTACAAGCCAGACTCTGCCTGAGAAATAGAAAGTCAAAGTGACAAGCCAAGTTTCACCACTTAAGAGTGGACTACAAGCAAATCATCTACATAAAGTCACAAAGTTAAACTCAGAACTTTACAGTGTTAAGGTGATGTTTATAAGCAAAGAGAAAGAAGTAACCAGATCCTAACCACTCACAGCTGTGGGGGAAAGGCAGCACCAGGACTATGGGCACACTATGGGTTGTATAGGTGTCAGGCGTGCTCACCTCCAGACAGTAATCCTCCAGTGGATGAAATGTTGCAAAAAAGAAATGCTCTTGGATGCGTTGCCAGTTCTTCTTGGCATTCCTAAGAATGAAGAATATGGTCACAGGCATAGATAAGACATTAAATAACTCAGGTAACCAGGAAATCAAGTATCTTAAGGAGGTTCTGCACAATTCAAAGGGAATGCAGATGTGTGTAGATTTAATACTAGACACATATACACATATCTCTAAGATCAACATACTATGAAAGCTCTTTTCTGCAAAATTTGACTCTTTTTCTGCAGAACTGAGGCTCAGACCCAGCGCCTCATGCATATTATACAAGTGCTCTAACACTGAGTTACATCCCCAGCCTAGAAAATTTATACAATTAGGAACTTTTGTAGCTTGAGTTTGAATTATTACATGTTAATGCCAATGTGATCCTGAAAAATATTAATGTCCAAATCTATGCATGTAAATAAATTCAGCCCCACATGTACCAAACATCCAAAATAGTAAATACATGCATATTCAGAAGAAATGACACACTGAAGGTCTTTTACAAAGATCAATAATTCTAGTTGCCAGGTTATTTCCGGCAAGTTAGGAATCCCAGGCCTGATACACAGACACACACACGCGCACACACACACACACAAGTGCATACATTTGTGCACTTCAGCACATGCACCTTTGCGCTCTGCCCATCATCTATACTAACACAACCTCCAGCTCAGCTCTGTCTCCTCTACTCCCTTCCTCTGTGCTGTCTGAGAGCAGTTTTCAGTTCTGATGTTTGCTGAATCAACTGACTTTCTCCTGAGCTCCGCCCCACCCCAATCATCCAAATGCCTGCCTGCTATCCACCCATATGTCAAGAGTCAGGGAGGAGGGCCTGGGATTTAGCTCAGTGGTTCCGCTGCCTGCCTTGCAAGTGCAAGGTCCCAAGTTCAATCCCCAGTACCGGGGGAAGCTAACATGCCTGTGATCCCTGATCCTGTGCTTGGGAAGGCTGAGGCAAGAGGACTGCGAGTTCAAGTCCAGGCTAGATAACTTAACATGACCTTGTCTCAGAAAAAAGCTGGGAATGTAGCTCGGTGTGATGGCCTTGGCCTCAATCCCCAATACCAGGGGGGAGAGGATGGAAAGGGGGAGAATTAAGGAGGCTGAGGGTTGTACACTACTTTGTGGTAAAGGAAGACTCATAACTCAAAACTTGTTTGTATCAGGTACTCACTGGGTAGTCACAGCAAAACCTCAACTGTTTCACTGGCCTAATATGCTACTTCCGACCTTTCCTGTTTGTGTATATAAACTAGTGGTGCTTCTCTGAGCACCTCAAGAAAAACCTTTCACGTTGATTGATGCCGCCTGGGTCTCAAATTCACAAAAATCCCAGCACTCCAGGATGGTGGTAATCAATCATAATAAAAAGCTGCAAAATAAAATAATACTTCGGAGACAAGGAAACAGGCTCAGATCCCAAAAGAGGCTTAGGATTCCATGACCTGCTGTGAGATGACATGAGTGGGACCAAGAAGAGGTTTGTGTCCAGTCACCAAGGGACTGTATAGAACGCTGGGCCATGTGCACCAGCTTCAGCAGCACCTTCCTGCTGGACACTGCATTTCAGGGTGAAGGAGAGTCTGAGGAATGAAGAGCCTGCCTTGCACGGAACAGGAAGCCTGGGGCTAGAAGTGGGGCAGCCAAAGGAGCAGAGCATTCTGAGGTCCAGTCCTGCTGCCTCATGGGTGTCTGAAAGCAGAGGAAGGAGATGCCTGCTACGTGGAGCCATACCAATAGTATAGTATGCAAAGGGTCACTTGTAAAATAAAGGATTGAAGATAATTAGCAACAAAAGGTTCTGGTGGGGTCGGCAACTGGAAAGGTCACTAGGGTGTGTACTGAAGAGCGAGCTGATTGTTCCAGTCTAACCCAAGCTGTCTGTGCCCAGGGTGGTGTGACAGCTCATCAATGCACAAGGATGGGGTCCAGCTCTCCTTGTCTTCCAGGCCCTGTGAGCTGCCCTTACCCTGCTCCCTGCATGCTCTCCGCTTGGCTGAGACTGCGCTCGATGACAGTGGTCCATGCATTATACTCTTCAACACCTAGTGCTTTGCACACGTCCCAGACTTTCTTGAGAGCCACAAGAGCATACAGTCGAACACTGAAGTTGTGGCTGAGACACCACTGCAGCGCGATGAGGAGGGCCTGCTTCAGAAGCGGTGTCTGTGGAGAGAGGACATGAACGCTGTACCTCAGCTGCACTGTATGGTGGCGCCTGGCTTACATCACTGGCTGGCTGATTCTCATTCCTCCCCCAGTCAGTGAATCATCAGCATCCCCAATTTTCTCAAAAATAAAAAGATTCCTTGGGCCCCTGTTCATCCCTGCCACAGCCCACCCCCTGGTCCCATCCCCAGGAAGACTTAGGCAGATTTTGATGCTGACCTGAGATAGCTCCTGCCCTTGTTCTAGAAATGTGGCCATGTCTCTGACTACCAATCTGGGCTGGAAAAGCTAGAACTGCACTGCAGGAGCCCCACTTTTAGTGACCCATGAGGTGCTCCTAAACAAGATATCACAGGATCCCATCTTCCTGCTTGTCGCTGGCTTCTCCGCTATTGTCTTTCTCAGTGGTGATCTTAGGCCACACAACACTGCATAATGGCAGCAAAAATCAGAGGTCAGGAGAATAAAATGCTTAAAACTGTGCATGGTCTTTTCCTGTGAATCCAGGTCCTTACACCGTGAAGATCTGATACATTAGTGTCCCCAACTTTTATAATCCTATGATTTTAAAACACCAGATGTATGACAGAAGCTATGTGATGCTCCTACCAAATGCTTTCCTCCACCGGTCATCTAGAAATGCTCACTGGGCTGTACCTGGCCCAGAGCCCCATGGTTAGTTTTTACTGACTAACAGCCACCATGTCCATAGAACCATTTATCAAATATATCAGAATGGTTATAACACAGTTCAATTACTTGAAGTTTCTCTGAGAATAAAACACAAATATCAATAACCCTTTCTTTCAATCCTTCACTTGACACATCACTGGTCCAAGGTCATTGTCTCTCCAGCTCTGCAGTGCTGGGACACACACAAACACATACAAATATACACATACACACACACACACACAAAACACTAAATATATGAGTTCTAATAGAAAAATATGGTAAATGATTAAATTTAAAAATTTATTATAGTAAAAGACCTACTGCCATCAATCCCCTCAAAATACTCTCTCTCCCTTCAAACACATCCCATTGTTCCTGCATTTTCTGAAGCAGTTCTGGAAGTCCTTCTTCATGACTTTAGATGTGCTGCCATGGCTGTATCTATGTCATGAACTGACTCAAAGCATTTACCTTTCATGGTCATTTTGACTGTGGGGAACAGCCAGAAGTTGCAGGGTGCCAGATCCAGTAAATGATACCAGAATGTTTTTTCTGAAGTTGCCTTTCCTTTGGATGGCACTCTGCAGTCACATTCACTGTATTTGTTCACACCTTGTAAAGACATGACAGAGGACTTCCAGAGCTGCTTCAGAAAGTGGCAAAAATGATGGGGTGTGTTCAAAATGAGACAGACTATTCTGAGGGGAATTGATGGCAATGCATCTTTTACTTTACTAAAAATTTAAATTTTTAATTTAAATATTCACTATATTTTCAATCTTACCCAATGCAGCCATCTCATGTGATGAACAGCTGTAATCATCATGTATCCCTACAACAGGAACATCAAGGCCACACACAGGAAGGGGAGGGACAGAGGAGAGCAAGGGCATAGTAGAGGAAAGTAAAAAAATACAGAGAAAGGAAAATAGATTGCCTTGGCTAGATGGAAGATCTAAGAAAAATTCCAAAGGTAGCAGAGGAAGCAACAAAATTTCTAAAGGACACATGCTAAGAGTGTAGTTATGGTCTAGCAGCTAATAGGTAAGCAAGTCAATCACAACAACCAAATCTCTTAAGAAGACAAAAATGAAAATTAAGAGAGGCAAAAGGCAATGTAAATAACAAATTACTAACACACTACAATTTTTCACAATGTCATACAGCACACACATGACATCTACACCAGAGTAATTGCTCCCCACACCATACCTCATGTATCACAAATGTCATACACAACATCTCAGAAAAAAAGCAGCAGTAGCTATCCTCTTTGCAGATCAAGTGGATTTCAAACCAACACTGATTAAGAGAGACAGAGAAGGACACTACATCCTTGTAAAGGAAACAATCCAAGAGGAAGAGATGACAATCACTGATATATATGGACCAAACACTAGTGCACCCAACTATACAAAACAAACACTAATGGACAGGAAAAATCAAATAAGCACGAATAAAATAGTAGTGGGGGACCTCAATACCCCAATGTCACAAACAGACAGATCAACTACACAAAAAATAAGAATGAAATACTAGAGCTCAAACTCTTGAATGAGCTTAACAGATGTTTAGAGAGTGTTCCACCCCACAAAATCAGACTACACATTCTTTTCAGCTGCACATGGGTTGTTCTCCAAAATAGACCACATTACTTGCTCATAGAACATGTTTAAGTAAACACAAAGGAATTGAAGTGATCCCCTGTATATTATCAGACAATAGTGAGATGAAAATGGAGATCAATAGTAAAAGAAACCGCAAAAATTTCATAAACACGTGGAAATTGAACAACACACTTCTGAATAACCAATGGGTCACAGAGGAAATTAAAAAAGAAATCAGACATATCCTTCAATTAAATGACAATGACAATACAACATATGGGAATCTATGGGAAACAATGAAAGCAGTCTTAGGAGGGAAATTCATAGCAGTGAATACTCATATTAGGAAAACAGAGCGAGCCCAACTAACCTGATGCAGAACCTCAAGCTTCTAGAAAAAGAAGAGCAGGACACACCCAAAGCTCATACACGGAGTAAATTATAAAGACCAGAGCAGAAATCAATGCAATGGAGACTAAGAGAACGATACAAAAAAAAATCAATGAAGCCAAGAGTTGGTTCTTCGAAAGAAT